GGCGATGGCTGCCCCGGCTCGGGTGGCCGCGGGCGAGGGGATCGCGCTGCGGCCGGTACCGGCCCGTCCCAGCCGGGAGCGGCGCCGCGGGGCTCGGCCGGGCTCAGCCGCGTGCGGGACGGCGGGACTTGACAAGAACCGCACGGTGCCGCCTCGTCAGAGCCCATCCGCATCCAGGCTCCTGGCGCAGATCCAGCGCAGCGAGGCCGAGCAGGGCTTGTCGTTCCATAGATTGGAGTCCTCGGGCTGCAGGTGGCCGCAGTCCTCCCCCGCTTCTGTCCCTGCGCTCCAGTTGTCCGGCTGTCCCGGAGCCCAGAAGCTGCCGGGGTAGAGACACCTCACGGCTCTCGGGAGCTGTCCCGGCCCGCCCGGCTCCCTCCTGGCGCGGCCGTGGCCGGGAGGCGCCGCCCGCCCCGCGCTGCACCGGCCCCGCTCACCTCGCGTCCTGCCGGTACTCGGTGCCGTCCACCCAGCGCCACGTGCCCTCGGTGAAGGCGTCCGTGAGGCCGATCCAGTAGCTCTCGTTCCCTGCCTCCCGGGCCAGGAATTCCTGCTCGAGGAGGGAACGAGGGCCGCTGCGGGCGGGGCTGAGGCCGCCCGAAATCGGGACAGCGGGAACTTCACTGCAGCACCGACGTCCCCGCAGGCGCCAGCCCGAACCTGCTCGGCCGCGCTGCTGACCGTCACCAGATGGGCGTTCACCGTAGTGCAGAAGGACTCCGACTTATTCCACGTCTTTTTTATCCTCGAGAAGTAGTAGACCTTCCCGGCATGGTGCTTCCAGACGATGGAAAACCGCTGGAGCCATTGCCCTGGGCAGAGCGGTCAGAGCTCATGGGGGCGCGGGCAAGTCCCTTTCCCGACCCTTTCCCTGGGAGTTCCTGTCCCGTCCCGACGGTCTGACCCGACTAGAGGGGCCCCAACGGATGGCATGGCCCGTGTGCGAGCCCCTTCTGACTCGGCCCCTCTCGACCCCAGCCGGCCCGGTCCGGCCCCGCCGCTGCCCTTACCCCGCGGCTCCCGCGGCTCGGCGCTCCGCCTGGCGCGGGGCAGCCGCTTGGGCCCTGGGCGCACAGCGGCCGCGCTCCGACCGCGCAGCTCCGCGCGGGACGCGCCCTGCATCGGCCCCGGCTGCCCCGATCCGTCCTGGCCCCCTCCCGGGCTCGCGCACATCCCTCCTCCCGGTCCCGTTCCCCGCTCCATTCCCCACTTCTCACGCCGTCCACGATCCCAGCTCCGTCCCGCACCGCTCCAGACCCCTGATGTTATCGCTCCCGCCCCTAGCTCCGCACTAGTCCCGCCTCGCTCCTGTCGTCGCTTCGTGTTCAAGCTCTGGTCCCGCACGGATCCCGCTCCCGTTTCTCTCCCCGTCCTCACGGAACCCGCATCTCCGCCCGTCCCGCTTCAGTCACGACCTCGGCCCCTKCCCGCACCGCTCCTGCTCCCTTCCGTCTCCCGTTCCGCTCCATGTCCCGGCCCTGCTCCCGTTCTGACCTTGCTCCCGTGCGCGCTCCGTTACAGCTTCGTTTCCGCCCCGCTCGTTCCCCGCTGCCGTCGCGCTCGGTGCCCGCTCACCGAGCGAGCCGTTGTGGGCGCAGGCGGGCGGCGCGGAGGCTCCGGCGGCCGCGGCTCTGGCCGCGCGCAGCTCCCGCTCGGCCCGCACGTCTGCGGGCGGCGGAGGCAGCGCTCGCAGCGGCCCCTGCCTCGCCACGGGGCTGCCACCGCCGCCCCCGGCCCGCCGGGACCCGCCCGCACTTACAGAGAGCGCCCAGGGCCGCGAGGGACATGGCGAGAGCCACGAGGGCGGCCAGGGCGAGCGCGGGGCCCAGCGG